GGCGGGTGGAGCCCCCCCCCCCCCCCCCCCCCCCCCGCGACCCTTGTGAGGATCGAAAAATAGATGGATGGACATCGCACACCCCTCCTATTACTTATTTGTGACATTATAAAATTCTACCAGTAAGCAACAGTTTAACTAATAGTGCTATGGTGTGTCATCCATGTTTATCATCATAGTATATCCACATGGTGGACATGGCTACCCAGTAAGCATGTCAGGCTGGTGACATAGTATCGGTGTCCTCGTGTCGATGTATTTTTCGAATGAGTGCCGATACACTGTAACGACGCAGGTACTGGTATCGAGATCGGTGAATACTTTGCAGAAATGTCAGGCAGTGGTGGAAAAACACTTTACTAGTTCCTCTTCTAGCATGCCCAAGTTGGTACTACTGGTACCCTGAATTGTCTTATTAGTTAGGATAAAAAGTGTACTCGTACTTTGACAGTGAGGCTCAATTTCATGGCAAACGTACCCTCAGTGAGATCCATGTAAACAAGGAAAGCAGCATGGACTTGTTCACTGTCTTCCACCTCAAGGTTCATCATCTTGACATACTGAATGAATACAATACGCACACAGTGTATTTTAGCAGCACATTTATTTAGCAAGGCGATAACTCAAGTCATATGAAACACACTCACCACTGGATGAAGCAGCATCCAGTTTGGTGACTTTCCTGACATGTCCATGACTGTACCGACAGACGCTTAAATTCAAAATTATAACTGGGCCACGCCACTGGTGGTATGGAATGTGTGATGTGTCGCTCCTGACCACTTTGCCCGGGCGTTAATGTCGATGTTTCATGATATTATTTGTCGAGTGTCGTCCTCATTCAATCACCTTGGCGTAGACGAGGATAAATCACACAGAAGAGTGGAATAATTTCGCTTGTCTAGTGCCGGGACATCAAACTAACAATTTCGAACACACTCCCTCACGTACTGGGTGTGTGTAACACTTAAATATGCTCGTCATGGAACAGGCAACAAGTTGTGTTCCGACTAACGATCTCTGAAAAGGCCTAAAACAGACACGCAGTTGAGTATTCTGTATAAAGTATACAATATAACATACTTAACTATGATGATAACCCAATAAGTGTTCATTTATATTGTATTATTATAAACAAGTGACATTTTTTAAATTATATTTAGGTCGCATATCATAACCTTATTATTATTATTATTATTTTTTTTTTAGAAAAACATGAAAAACTTAGCCAAGTTCTGAGTATCTTTTATGTAACTTTTGTCACAGTACAATTCCGATATATATATTTTTACAAATCCGACCTGGGCCTCTTTAGTATGTGGATTTTTTCGGATATTTGTGCGATGCGTCTGGCGTATGCCCGCTCGGGTAGAAGAGAGAATGCGCGGGAGACTACTGATGTTGTCCACGAATCTCCAGTTGTTTAGAGTAACTGTTACTTTTGTATTTTTCTCTAATCACATCTGAAACATGTGGCATAAAGTAGATTTATGCGTCGATAACAGTAATTCCTCCACACAGTCATTTTAAAATGTCGACCAGATTTCTGAGAAAAGATGTCGAGTATGTTGGTATTAGTGGAACACCGGTGGAAATGGTGGATGGCAAGTACGAGATATATAAAAGTGAAAGTAGTCTATTTTGCCGTCATAGTTTCGCTGCCTTCCCTAACATTTATTATTGCGCGTTACCGCCAAAAGGTGAAATTAATGACTTGGGCTAATGTGTATGTTTGGTTACCAACGTGTACTGTCACATTTGTTTGTGCTGGTGTTTTATTTAGGCTAGGTTTTATTTAGCTAGCTAATACTATTAATGAGCCTAGTGTGAAGGTTGTTTATGTCTAAAAATGTAATTACTAAGAACAGTCGATGTAACATGGGTTCATGATTGTGTCCAGGCTATATGCACTGAGTTGTGCTTCATGATCCTCTAACTTCCAAGTGCTTTGTCGTCAAAACATTTTGGTTTGGTAGCTTGCTGTAAGTACTTTATTCCTTGAGGAATATTCACATATTTGTAGGATTTTAAATCTTACATATGTCAAGATGATACAAGGGTTTGATCAATTCAATGTGATGAAACGTCTTTACACAATATTACAGCGCTAGGAACTGTCAGTGGTAATAACAAAGCCTTCGCTGTCAGCAAATATTGGCAGTCAGTTTCAATATCTGGCAGATGACTGTGTTTATGAAGGAATATCTTTATTTGCAGTGCCTTGAACTCCTCCCAGGTGCAGGCCAAAAGCCAATGACATACTGCCAGAGTACAAGGACACACATTCAGGCCTTTAGCTACCAAAACATATGGAAATTGTATGATGTTTATCAGCATGTGTTGCTGAGGGTCAAGTTATAATGAATAATAGTCTTCATGGGAAAGTAGGTAACCATGATTCTGTCACCCATCACTTTGTAGGTGGTGTGGCACACACAGCTACAGCAGGTGCCTGTGGTCGAGGATAATGTCAAATATGAGCCGAAATTTTGCAGCCAGTTGGAAGGAGGATGTGATGAAAGTTGGACTTCAATGGGATCTCACGTAAGTAATTGTAGGAATGTACAACAACAAGGTTTGTCCATTTGAGCAGAGGTGGCAAAAGTACTGTACTCACACTTTGGGGAAGTACAGAGAGTTGTGTGAAGAAAAAAAAGGATATTGTACACCGCTTTATGATTTTAAGTCATCCAGTTTTTACCATTCTGTATTAGTTTAGGACATGACAATTTTCCACAACTAATACGGTAATATTCCTGTTTGATACTGATCTTGTATTAGAACTCTTGATTGTTTAGGTACATCGAATAGTGAATTAAAACACACTTTTTTAAAAATCACTTAAATTTGGCACGGCTGTTAACAACAGTTCTCTTTGTTTTTTTCATCAAATAATACAAAACAATAGACGAACTTGAATAAACTTGGGGCTTTTTATTAGGGGGGGAAAAGGAAGAAAAGCATTTTATGTCAAGCAATCAACGGAACCCTTTTTTAAATATGAGCAGTTCCATGTCACAAAAGTAGTTATGAAAGTAATCAAACCACACAAATGATACGTTTCAGAATAAATTAATCAGCTAAAAAGAAATAAAACATGCTTGTGTCACAAAGGAACTCTTGAAAGCCTGTTACTAAAGAATTGAACAAACCTGAGAATATAAATATCAAAACAGCTTGTTGCAGCAATTATTTCACTCCACAATTCCTCCTTAACTAAAGCCTTTTCATCAGAGGAATTTTTTTAATTAAAAACAATTTACATTAATGTTTAAAAAAGGCATCAATTAAAAAAAAATACAATGTGCACATCTTAATTAGTGTGGCGGAAAAAATTTTTTTTGTTGTTGTAATTCCTCAGATAGGCAGTACATAAAAAGGAAATCCAAAATGGATAATGCGTCCAACAAAGCACATTCAGTGATATGAACAATTTGGACTGAGCTCTTGCACAATTAATATCTGCAGTGAAATGACAGATTACCAATATTTATATATATATATCTTTTTTGCGTTCCATTTCAGTAACTCTGCTTTGGAGCAAAATTCATGCAGCTGAGTCATTAACGCTACATGTCAACGACAGAGGTTCAATGAGAATTGCGCGGAAACTGTTGATGTTGCAACAGGATCTTGCCGTGACAGACACGTGTTGGATGGATTTTGCAGAGACAGAAAAAAAAAAGAGGAAAAACTGTGAGGTATGTTCTTATTGCATTATGACAGCTTTAAATCTTGGAGAGTCTTTGTGAGGACACTTGTGTATGTGTGAGAGAGGAAATTGACAGAAGTACATCCACTGGGAAGCAGGAAAACAGGTAGTTTTGTGTATCCGTATGAAAAACTGTCCGTGCGTCCAGAGTCACTGCCAGCAGTAACCAAAAACTGATCAAGAGGTGTGAAGACAAAAAAAGTGGAACACTTTTGCAAACACAAACTCCAGTGGGTGCAGGTGTCATTGGTCTGAACAGTGAGACGGTAGGAGTCAATATCAGCATAAGGTGCCTTTGAAATGTCCCAATCTTATCAGGAAAAATCTTTTTTTATTGAACTTCACATTCATTGTATCATGTTGATGTTAAGCGGTTAGAAATGATTCTTGGTCAAGGTCCCACAATTTAAAAAAAAAAAAAAAAAAACCTCAAGTACATCCAATGAACAAAACCATTTCCATTAGTCTGGTATGCTTGCAAAGGTTTGGCCACTGACCTCAGAATTTCTTTCTTCAGTTACCTTTTCACAACGATCGAGTGATTCTGACGAAGAAACACCAAAGGCACTTCGTGTTGACATTGACCCGTATATAAAGATGCGCTAGTGGTCGTTGAACGGGAAAAAACAAAGACATCTGCCGCATAAGATGAAACAATGAGAACAAATCCGAGTCCGTCTGAGAAATCAAAACACGGTCACCCCCTTTGAAAGCCCTTACGACAAAAGGCAGTTTGACAACCCAGCAACATATTTTTAAAAAGTTACACAGTGTTTGCTTGAGGACACATAGCAACACTGCCCCGGCGTGTTTTGTTTTTTCCAGCCAAGAACTGTACACCTGTAAGACAAAAGTGCCACGTTGCATAAGGAGTATGTGTGAAGAGCCCCAAAAGAAGACATAGTGTTTATACCTCTACAATGATCAAACTGTAAACATGGTGCAAAGTAGTTTTAACACAGTTTAAGGCTTTCAGAGTGTCCTGAAGAGGTGTTGAGGCTAAAGGAATAGGTCCATGCTGGACAAACAGTGTGTGGGGGGGAGGGGGGGGGGGACTGAGGTTTGCTTTGTTTCATCCTGCAAAAAAGAGTGAGTGAGTGAGTTGCCCTCTGACACGCTGCATTGTGGTACCATCAAACTTGTTTCAATTACGCCACTCACAAAAAGTTGTGAACGTTAGTCACATTGTCCTGTTAGTGTTATTGTTGGCACTGCTGTTAGCGGCTTTAGCTTTTCCGAGTTAACATTTTCACATCCCGGTGGGTCAAACACGGAATAAGACTCTGAACTTAACTTTACACTCTGCTAATGCAAAGAAATCATTGAAGGTCCAACTTTGTTGAATTACACTGAACCGATTTGACTGGAGTCAATTTTGAAGCTTAAGACGATAACAGGCGGCTGGTGTTTTTCTCTTGTGTTAGTGTGCGTGCGTCTGGAATCTGGAAAACACGCAAAATGAAGAAAAAAAAAAGTCTGGACACTGAACTGATCGCACTGCGATGCTTTTGGTTGAATCCACATCACATGATTTATGGACGGTGTTGACGAGTGTCTCCATTAGCGCAAGTACGGGCCTACGGTAGCTTCTGCTGGGTTTTGGGCCTTTTGTAAGTGGATTTTGGGCCATTTTTGCTGTGTGGCTTTAAGGCTCTTCCTCTCATTTGTTATTGGAGGTCAACCCTATATGAATCAAATATGAATTCAAACAATGCAACAAAATCGAGCATCTACATGTTGCGTATTTAACCAAATCACTTTAACTTTGAAGCTGGGCTGCAAGATGGTGCCTGCGCGTGTCACTATCCAGACTTTCTTTTCTACGCTTTTGGGACAAAACAAAAGAGTGTGGGCCCAAGCGTCAGCAAAATCAACTGAGATGCATTTGGAAATTAGGCCTTTCTCCAGCATATTTGGTATTTGCTCTCAACATCACCGCTATCTCCTTTCTAGTCTCTTACAACGCTAACAAATCAAGTTTTGAACTAACAGAAATGTTGAATCACACTTTGTACCCGTTCTTTTTCCTCGGATAGTCAATCTATTTAGCTCAGCAGTACCACATGAACGCCGCACGGCCAGAGTCTTGTTTTATAAGGCTGCTGTGTGAGGAAAACCTGGCACCCTCAAAGGTATTCCGCTGTCTGGTTCCACACTATTTGTGGACTTGATGCTTATACTTTGAAGGTAGCGCCTCAAGAATCATCTGTTCTGAGCAAAAAACAAAAAATAGAAATCTAAAGAAAAACATAAAAGCACGCACACGTGCACACCAACACACACAGGCAAAACCTTCCTATGAAGCCCATACGGTTACCCCTAATATAAGGACTACATCACATGTATTACTTCTGCTGCTAGCTGCATTATACTTTTTTTTTCTACATTAAAAGCTTAAAGCTTATATACATGAGCATCATTATTAGACATAATACTACTGCGTATTATGTGTCAGCGTTTCCAGGAAGCTAAAGGATGTCTTTAGGATGGCGTGCAAACAGGTCGCCTACAGTGAAGCTTGAACCACTTCATGGCCAAATTCATATTTGATCGATGGTTCGATTTCATTTCAAAGGAAATAACTTGGATGATGCTTTCAATGCAATTTTAAAAGACAAAAACAAAAGGAATGTATCGCCACTAAAACTTGCAAAAAACATGGAACCGGCAGCGCTAGGAATAGAAATGATCTAGTTGTAGCTGTGCTAACCTATCATCATATTATTATTGTGCTACCCACAGTAAATAAATGCAATTGTAGAATACGGCAACAATTTACAAAGTAACCACGAGATGACAGAGGAGATGTGGCTGTTGTGTTGCTGTGATGTGCAGATTTCGACAGAGAAAGAAGTAGAAAAAAAAATCCCTGCAGAGTGTGAAAGTCTGACATGACTTTAGGGTTGGGTTGATTTTATTTGTTGTTTTTTTTTTTTTTTGAGGGGGGGGGGGATCAATTGAAATCTGCTTTTTCGATTCTCGAGGGGGGATTTTCTGCTTTGTTTTAACGCCACACTTCTCTTTTGCGACGATTTGAAAAGGTGCAAGCGAGCGGACTAATTCCGGGAATCGATGAAGTGGAATCGAGAAGCACATCAAAATCTGAACTGAAGGATTCGGAACTGGTCTCAGTTCAATACCAGCCAATGAAACCCAACCCTTTTCATGTTGCAGGTGGAAAGTGGTCACGTGACTCCTCTGTGGGGGATGCGCAGCGAATGCTCGTCGCCCCTCACATCCAGCCCCTGCGTTGATTTGGGTACGTGCACCTCTTCAGCACCACATAGCAATGCTTGTATTTTTCCTCAATGAAACAAATTGTAGCTGGTTAACCCCCACTTGTGACCACGAATGCCCCCCCCCCCCCACTTCCGCTCACCCCGAGTAACCTGAACCATCTAATGGTGGACAGTCGGGCTGGGAGAGGACATGCCCTTGTTGCGCCCCAACATGGCGGGCTGGAAGTCGGGGTGACGCCGGGCGTGCTTGATCAGATGGTCGCTGCGCATGAAGCGCTTGTCGCACAACGGGCACAGGAAGCGTTTTTCTCCCGTGTGTGTGCGGGTGTGGCGGGCCAGCTCGTCGGAACGGGCGAACTTCTTTTCGCAGTCGGGCCAGGTGCATGGAAATGGCCTCTCGCCTGAAAAACAGGAGCACCGCACCGATAATTTAGTGTGACCTTGTGCCCACATACCTTCCCTTTGACTAAAATCAGGCATGCATCTTTTTCTTCCTTTCACTTAACTGAAGAGTGAAAATATGTCTACATATCACGGCTTTTCTTTCTCCCGGGCCTCATGCAAAACATGACCGTTTTTGCAGTGGTCATTTTGCCGTGTCCGGCAAGTCGCCACCTACTCACGTGGTGTTATTTTGTCGTGAATCACACGAGAACTCGGTTGAGTGAGTTCTAATCAAGGCATAGAAATCATATATTAATTTTCGTCTTTGTTGATGAACTAACGTGTCCATAGATTTTTGCCCAGTCTTTATTAAATTAACTACATTTTCGTCTCGTCTTCATTAGTCCACGAAAATGTATACTGATTTTGTCCCAGTTATTTTTTTAATCTCACCTAGTCCAGTTTTCGTCCGGCGAAAAATGTGCATTGACCAAAATATTTCTCTCACGTTTTTGTTAACTAAATGAACACTAAGTAAGCCCTCTCGTATAAAGTAGTGTTTGGGCATCATCTTGTGGGATCGAGGTGCTAAAGCCCCTGTCTCACAGGGTGGCAAAGGTTTGTGAGTGCTTGTAAAAGTAGCAAATGTTGGTTTTTCGTAAGGGTTCAAGGTTGCAAAGGCATTCGGAAACAGGTTCGCAAATGGTTTTCTTGCTGCAAAGAAATATTGATCATGTTCAAAATTTGATGGCAACAAGAAAAACTGTTTACGGCCTTTAAAACTGTAAATGTCTGGCGAACAACTGTGCAAACTTTTGCAACCTTGAAGGAACCCTGACAACAACAACAACAACAACAAAACTTTTACTATGTGGGCAAACACTCGCAAATGTTCATCGTTCAGTGCGCTACTACCTCAAAGAACAATGTTGAAGTGAGGGGATGAGCTTCTCTGACACAGGGCTGGTGCTTTGCCTCCATCTTGTGGCATCTATTGGTATTTACACACCTTAAAAGATTGGCGTCCATTGCATGTGGGTTTTCGCTAATTGCGCGAGGGCTGGGCGCCTATTCCCAAGAATTATGTACAGTAGATTTCATTTATTTTTAAAAATGTCAAACTACAAGTGCTGATTGATGGAAATGAACTCAACTGCAAAAAAACTAATGTAAATCAAACATTTGTCCATCGCTGCAAGGTAGAAATGCTGCACACATGCAGGAATGTTCAGGCAGGGAGGCGTAATTGATTTAGTACAGTAAAGTTGTTTTATGGGCACACCCATACGCAGGTATGCGCTCTTTTATTGCACAACTAACGAATTTTACCAGGATTCATGTGTCACAGTGTGTGTTATTCCCATATAATTGTGTCTGTATTACTGTAGTGGTATAGAACTGACTTGGGGCTTGTTGCACAGTGAAATATAGCAAAAAAAAAAAAAAAAGCACTGAGGAGCAGGGATTCAGATCCTACAGATTATCTTTTGCTAAACTACCGCTAGCCTTAATCTGCCACAAGCCTCCACGAGTCGAGCAGGATAAGAGGAGGATGCTCGGAGCCATTTTCAAGATCACAAAGGCAAACCACGTTGTTGTTGCAGACCACTTTGTGGGCGTTTCCATCGCAGTTTTCTTTGAGCCATTTCCTGTCCTTAATCCCTTTGCGCCTGCTCGACGACCCCGAAAGCACCGTGTCCCCCATCAATTTACGCAAGAAAAAAAAAATAATCACATGTTCGTTTTATCTTACGGGGAGAAGGATTGTAGAATCTTCAACACACTGGGCGGGTTATATTCGTTACAACGACTTCACAAGGAGGTATAACGTAAACATTTTAATTCCCCAGAAAATGTCTAATTAAATTTGCGTATGGGAGGGGGTGGGCGTTTTTGCCCACATGGAGCAAGAGGAGGATTACATTTGACTGACAAGTGTTTTCAACATAATAGACGGATTTGAACATATTTACTCATTTAACCGACTTAACCAGGGCGTGTAATGTAAATTTTATTATTTCCCGAGCCTTCCAACGTCTCATGACTATTGCGACGTTCAATGTTTTCGGACTTTTTTAATTTCACATAAAAGATGCTCACTGGCGCGTGTGTGTTTGGGGTGGGGGTGTAATGCCAATAGCTGAGTAGTGTGGTGTACTGCCATCAACAGGAGAGAGCGTGTCTGGCAAACGACAAAGCGGAGGTTTCGCCTTACGTTCACTTCATATGCAAAGCGAATCGGGGAAGAGGTTCGTCACCGGTTTTAACGTCCAGCCCAGTTCTTTTGTTAGTTTACTTCTTTGTCGACGTCGCTAAGGGGGTAGCTTTTTTTCCTCGCCCCCTCCTATAGCTTTTGTTCGACAACAGGTTGAGGGCCACACTCGATTAAATAAACTGACACCAAGATAGGCAAAGTTCTCACAAAGCGGAAGGAAACACTTTACTGTACGAAAAGTTATACATTACGTATTTTCGATGTTGCCTTCACGGGAGTTAGGGAAAGGGGAGAAATTGAGCTAAAGGCGTCAACCATGCGCCACAGCATGTGACCTTACTCACTGTTGTTTCCATACCTGTGTGGGTCCGGATGTGTGCCTTCAAGTGGGATGATTTCCCGTAAACTCTGTCGCATCCGTCAAAAGTGCAGTGGTGCCGCTTCACGGGGGAACGAGGTGGGCCCACGCCCCCGCCTCCTCCTCCTCCCGCTCCCCCCCTCGGCGGTTGCTGTCCGGGCACCGGAGTAGCGGAGGGGGTCATGGTAGGGGTGGTGGGGTCCGACAACGTGGTGTAACCGCTCTCCCCACCGCACGACGAGTTGCTGCTCTCGGAGTAGGCCGACATGGGCCGGAACTTGCCGTGGAGGTCGGTGAGGATACCGGCCACGGTCATCATGTTGGCCCCCTCCAACCTCAGGGTCTCCCGCACTTCGCGGTCCTCGCTCGAGCCGTCGTGCTCCCCGGGGAGCAGGCCCGCGGTAGTACTTGGCTGGCTTGCGGCGAGGGCCACCGGGGTGGGTCTGTGCAAAACGGGACCACTCGAAATAGAAACCAAGCACTCGGCGGCGAAGTAGTCAGAGGACGCGGTGACCGACATTGTTCGTCTTGGGGTCCAAAAAGTAGCAAAAATAAATGAGGTGGGTGGCGGGGGGTCCAGCAGGCAGGAGGGGCTAACTACTGTAGTCGACTCCCGACCTCGTTTTTATCAAACTCGACGTAGCCGCACTTGTAAACCCCATAAAGAGCTCCCACTGTTCCGTAATAATCAAGTACATCAAAGAAGTGTACAACGACGGCTAAAAGTGGGTTAAAATGGTGCCAGTTGCGCCGAGGCAACATGCGCGTACCCCAACGACGGATGGCTCATTGTGTCTGACTGAGCCGGTGGTAAACCTACGCCCCCTGATTCGGACCGCCGGGTGCGTTCAAGGCCCATGGTTATGGAAAAAAGCCACTTCTAAATGTGTGTGAATATGGGCAAAACAACAGGTTCGCGTCATTTTGGATGCAAAATGTTACACATTTTGAGGAATTTAAAATCCGAACATGCTTTTAATCGCGAACGTAGCTCATAAGTAGATCCAAGGGTTGCCCGCGATGAAAGTTCTCCCTATGTGTCGCTATATCCAATTTTTCTCGTAGCTTGAACGCATCTTTAACGACAAAATGCCTGACGTCGCAGCACGGGCGTGGACCCATGGCAGGCCTGGCGGGTGCATCGTGGAAGGCTGGCAAGCTCCAGCTTCGAGTAAGCAAGGATGGTGGGAGGAGTGAAGGATGAAAGGCGTGTGGGATGATTGGGACTTTTTTTTTTTTTTTTTTAGCTAAAAATGTACATGGCTTCCAGTCATCCACTGTTTGCATTTTTCAAGTCCAAAACCGAGACACTAGATGGCTCTATTCTTTTATGCGTCAGTACCAACTTGTAATGGACTGATGATAGGCTGAGTTAGTGCAAAAACCAGAAGGACTTAAACCCTGCACTTAAGTAGAACTACAGACATTTGTGTCAAACAGACTGGTAAAAGAAGAAGCATTGGTTTAACTCCAATAAGTAAAAGTCTCGACTTTGAAATGTACTGAAGCACAAAATAATTCCCCTCTTACTAACTTAACAGTGGGTACAAAAAGTCTGCGCACCCCTGTTCAAATTTTTAGCGGGTTTAGGATTCCTAAATAAAAAGTGCGATAGAGAGATGCAATTTAAAAATCAAATAAAAGCCTACCAGAACATTTGAACGTTTTTGAGGTTAATCTGAGGCACTTTAAATGGTGGTGGGTCTCTGCTGCCTCCTATTTAACATGAAATTGAACCTGATTGGTTAATTCTAAACACACTAACCGTACCTCTGCAACCACATCATCTCAGTCTTTGGGTTTTATTTCCTCTCTTGGCATTTTTTTTTTTCAGTTGAGTTGAAGATACTGTATGTGTATGCTCAAATTTTAACCATTATCACTTTACGATACATATTTTAACAAAGCAAAATTGGATTTTACTTGATTGTCTTCACTCACGTTTATCATCAATGCTCTCATCTACTTACTCCACAAATTTGAGTTCTGCCAACATCCACTTTTATTTTCGGTGCTGATTGTTTCTCTTTGTGCTCCTTTTTAATGCACAGAAACCTTTCTATTATCGACGAAGAGAGAATGTGCTGTGTTGCTGGTTTTAGTCCATTGAGCATTACATTTTGCAAAGACTGCCTCTTGTCATTTTAGATTCCAAATTGAGTTGTAATGTCGACATTTTAGGCAGTCACAGATGACAGTGCATAACATGCAGTTGCTGTTCTTTTTCCTCATGCGTCCATTTTCTATAACGCTTATTCTTACTTGGCTGGTGGGTGTGCTCGGGCCTATCTTTAAAGGTAAAGAAAGATTTCAACTATATTTCATGTAAATAAGTCACTTCGGGCCGAGAGGGGCTGTGTGTGGTCACGTGACTACCATGCTCCGTTTGATCGGTCAGATGGAGTCGAATGTCCCTGGTAGTTGTGTTGGCGTAACTGAGTCATGTGACTAGTTTCGTGCAAGCAATAGTAAACGCCTCTAAAGAAAGTAAAAGTTGCAGCGGAAAAGAGCTCAATGTAATCGCATAAAAATGGCGTCTCTTCACAAAGATGTGCAAACAAAAGTAACATGTATGCAGCATTAAAACTCCTCTGACAAGTGTAATTTATCCCCTCAAATTACTGAAGTTAACGTAATTGAGTAGATGCTACCAACTTCCGCTTTTAACATACGCTGGGATAACTGTAACATTATGAAATAAGGACCATGACAAATGAAGGTATTTCAAGCTTTTTGTTCAAAAAATGTTAACAAAATAGCAGTAGTTCAGAGTACAGGACATGAACTACACTAACATACAAACATTTATAACAATAAAACTAAAAAGAAAAAAAGTGCAAGTACCGTGCAATATGGACAACGTTTTATCTCCCGATATAAGGACATTTTATATCCAAATATTGATAACTAACCCAATACTGAGTGCTTCCTTAAAATGACATTAAATAAATGTCAAATTTATTTGATCCATCCATCCATCCATTTTGTAATCCACTTGTCGTGCCCGAGCCGATCCTAGCAGTCTTCAGTACACCCTCAACTAGTTGCCAGCCAATCGACTTTCTTTTATCTTTTTCTCTATTTATTCACAAAACACATTTTATATCGAAAACACCAGAACATGAATGAAAGGTGAAAATAAAATAAAGCACCATTCTAAATATCTGATCGTCAACCATAAATAATAAAGTGAAAAGAATGTACAGTCCCCTCCAAAAGTATTGTAATGGCAAGGTCAATCCTGTACCTTTGTTTTTGTTGCATACTGAAGACATTTTTTTTTGTCTCAGATCAAAAGATAAATAGACAAAAGTTGAGATTTCCGGTATTTTATTCCATGGTATTTACATCAAGGTGTGACAGAGAACTGTCTGTTTGAAGCCACCCACTTTTCAAGTGAGCAAAAGTATTGGAACAGACATGATTCAATTAACTTGAAGTAAATATCATTGAATATTTGGTTGCATAACCCTTATTTCCATCAAGCCTGCGGCCCATCGACTTCTCCAGACTGTTGTATTCCCTTGAAATGTTTTTCCAGGCTTTTACTGCAGCCTCTTTCAGTTCACAAAACTTAGAAAACTTTTGTGCCACACCTCTGTACTTCTTTGCAAAATCTAATCTGGCTTTGTCCTCCGAGACAAGTTTCTCCTACGGGAGACCAAATAAAAGTCCAATTCAATTCAATTCAAATTTCCGATTCTTTTTGCTGATCAGTGGTTTGCATCTTGTGTGTGGCCTGTATATTGCTTCTCCCAACATGCCCTTTGCAAGCTGGCAGTGATGTCACCGGCCGTTGTCTTTTGGTGTTTCTTCACAGTTTTCGCAATGTTTCTGTCATAAACTGCGGTTGAGACCCTTGGCCGACCTGTTCGATCTCTGTTGCTCAGCACGCTGGTAAGTGTCTTTCTTTTTCAGAACATTCCAAATTGTTATATTGGCTATACCCAATGCGGATTGATGTTCCCTCTTCTCTCAGCTTCAAAATGATTTGCTTTTACACACAGACAGCTAGCTAGCTCCCTAGTCCTCTTGTTTACTTAACAGCAAATTCAGTTTTCGCAGGCGAAACCCAAAGCCAAAAACAAGCACAATGTAATGTTTATGCAATCGATCTTAAAGGCAACACGTGAGCATCAGTCACATGTTCCAATACCTTCCTCACTAAAAAATGGGTGGGGTCAAACAAAAGGTGCTCTGTCCTGAGTTGTTTAACACCTCTCGACCATGAAATAAATGCTGGAATTCTGAACTTTTGTCTCATCATCTTTTGATCTGAAACCCAAATGTCTTCAGTGTAGGACAAAAACAAAGGAATTGACCTTGCCATTCCAATACCTTTGGAGGGGACTGGAAAGGTTTTGTTTTGTCTTACATGCGACAAAACCCCTTGTGGCTTTTTTTTTTTTTCATGTGTTTTACAGGTTGACAGATAGGAAGACAAGCTGGTCAACTCGTTCGGGTTTGAGCCACGATCTCTTCCATGTCACCACGTTCCCACTAGCACCAAAGATCTGCTGAGAGGGAAAACTAGTTGCGGGGATGCACAGGTATTTTTTGGCAAGCTTTGCGACTAATGGAAAGTGGAGCTCGTGCTGCCTCCACCATACACGAGGATCTTCTTCGGGATCCAAGTCAGCTGTCTGCAAGTACATGGTGAGCTCCAGTTGAACGGCTGCTCTGCTTGGCTTTGACGTGCTTTGGCAATTGGGTGCCGCTGCTTTCTTGAAGTAGCTGGACAAACTCTTCTTGGCTTTCTTGGCTGTCGGGAGCTCGGATTCATCTGCGAACGGCGCTGGAGTGGAGGCAGCTGTTGCTGCTGTCTCACCTCCGGCCACCAGCAACTCTATTTCTGTAGCGGCTCTTGTCTTCATGAGGTCGATTCGCTCTGCCTTAGTGTAGGCCGTTTTAAATCGTGGATCCAGCAGCATGGCCATGTCAAGCAGCTTTTCAGTGGCGTCGTCGGCATATTTGTCATGGAGGTAATTCAGGATTCCCTCTTTAATCGTTCTAGTGAGCGGTGAGTCATCATCTTGAGACTTGAGAATTTGCTGCTTGAAGAGGTGTAATACAGGTTTAACGTACGACACGCTGACATACTCCTCTCCAGGAAAGGCATCTGTAAATTCCATGAGAGGGCTCAATGCTTTGTTCACAGACTCCAGGATTTTCATGTCTTGCCTGGTTGGGATCAGATGCCTCACTTTACTGTCTTCACGGAGAACCTAAAAAATGGATTCAAATGTTATACATAGGGATGCACCAATAGCACGTTTTGGATACTGATTACAGTTGAGGACCCGCCAATACTGAGAACTGATACTAAATAATGCTATTATTTAGTCTTACATTTATATTAAAAACGTGTTTCCTTTTAACCAAATATTCACAAATAAATACTACTCTAAAACATGGCATAAGTTTCACTCAAATGTAACTTGTCACGATTAACATTTTAACATCCAACTGCGTGTTTTTCTGTCTTGCCACACATTTCACTTAAATATAGCTTGTAACATAAAGTATTGCAATTGCGTTGGCGTGGAGTGCAAATGCATATTTGGAGCTGAGAATCGGCGCTTGGAATTGAAGCGGATTTACATGGGACAGGAGAAGTGAACCAATGACTATATGCAATATTTAAATTAAGATGTAGCGCAGTAGATTGTATCGTATAATATAAATATAAAGCTAATTAGAGAGTACGAGGGGGCAGCATGGCTGAGGTGGCAGAGTGGTTGTCTCCCAATCGGAAGGTTATGGGTTGTGACAATGGCAGTGTCATGAAATGACAAGACAGTGTTTAAGGCACTTTGAAGCTAGAAAAGCGCTATACAAGTGAAAAGTCCATTTGCGCCATAACCAGGACAATGTATGTTTTTTACTTCCCCATCCTCCGTTTGAATATTAAAACTGTCCCCGATTCTGTATTTTACTGCTGCTTTTTTCCCTCTTTATTTAAAAATGTAATTCCCCCGCCCCTTGTTGATATGTTCAAGACACACAGTCAACACAAGTAATATAATAACATAAGACCCTGCATGCCGAGCGTAGGTATAAACATACCTGTTTAACAGCTTTCTCCTGCTCGATGAACCTGCTGATCATCTGTTGTCTCGAGCCCCATCTTGTGGGGCTCTCACTCTTGAGCTGGTGAATGGGCAGGTCCAGGTCCACTTGAGCCTTGGCCAGGTCACATCTTCTCTTGAATGAATTTGAGATGGTACCCGTCACCTGCTTGCATACCTCAACTGCACGTTGCACATCCGTTTGGGTTTGAGGTGACAGTGTTTTCAGGCTGCTCTCTGTTACTCAGATACAGAGGAAGGTGTAAACTTTGTTTAATCTGTTTGGAAAGGATTAGTACAATTAAGACAATACTCCATGGCACTCACCTATTGCCAGCTGCAAACGGTGCCCAAAGCACTGTAGCCTGTTCCACTCGTCCAGCTGCAGTGCACTATTGCTATTAGTTGCATTATCTGTGGTCACGCAGATGAGCATCTCCTCACGCAGCTCCCAGGATTCAAGTACTTCTCTGAGGACGGTGGTCATCATCACCTCTGAGTGGTCTTCAGGGAAGTAAACGGTTTGTAAGCATCGGCTAGTGAGGAGCCAGTCATTGTTGATAAAATGCACCGTTAGGGTCATATACGGCCGTGTGACTCCACAGGTCCACAGAGCAGTTGTCAATGCGAAATATTCCACGTTTCGAAGTTCTTCAGTCACCTTCGCGCGGCACTCTTTGTAGAGGCGAGGCAGCTGGACGTCACTGAAGTGTTTCCGATCTGGCATGTTGTACCTGGGGTCAAGTGTTTTGATCAATGCCCGGAAGCCCTTTTTTTCGACAGTACATGCAAAGGCCGTGTCTTCCGATATGATGAAATCACAGATGGCATCTGTAATTTCGCGATGTCTGCGAGACTGCTCGTCATACGGGATGAATTTAGTCAACGATTCCTTTCGAGCCCTCTGGTCTGTTTTTTTCGTTCCGTTACTTTGCGGTTGCGATGTGCCGTTTATGCTTTCTCGCAACCTCACACTCTCGATGTACAGTTCTTCATGTCGCGTTTTTAAGTGATAGAAGAGATTCGACGTGTTAGAGTCGCTCGTAGCGATTTGACGGCGGCATGTTTTACAGATGACCGTTTTCTGCTCCATGTCTGATGCTTTAAATCCAAACCAAAGCCAAACCATGGAACTCCGGCTCCCTCTTTTCGGCACCAACTCTTCCAAGTCCTCCACCTCCTCTTTGGGCTCCCTTTTGAGTTCGAACATTGCTAAGCTCTCCGCGCTTGCCTTATTGTTTATATCCATGCGTCTCTAACGATGCCGTAAATGAGCGTTTGCATGTGACGTAAAAGGGCTGCCGTAAAGTAGTAGCGTTGCAGCCATCAAATTCTTTATTTGCTCAAAACAAAGTTTATCAGTTTGAACATTAAATATCTTGTCTTTCGAATGTATTAAATTAAATTTAAGCTGAACATGATTTGAAAATAATTGTATTTTGTTTTTATTTATGTTTAACACAACATAGCAATTTCATTTGGAATTGGGTTTGTAATAATGCTATATTAAATTACAATGTGTGCATCATGACTATTTATTGTGGATCCATTGGTGTGCAAGAGTTGACCACGGGATGGCAGTATAATAAAGTCATCCAAACAAATGTAAGTGACTCAGTATTCTGCAGCAATACAGTATTTGTCGTTTTTTCTCTCTCGGAGGATAAAGAATACATGCATATAAGTATTGTTATATTGTGTGTTGCTGCAACATTGATATTTAAATAGCTATTGCTTAAAGCATTCCAACACCACTACAAAGATGCTATTCATTAGTCTGTCTATGGCATTTCCCATTACGTTTTAGGATTAGGCTAGCAGACTCAAAGGCAGTTACATGGTTGTTTGAAATACACGATCTCTGTTTCACGTATCAAATCGCTTGCAACCTATTTTTCTAGAATTGTTCACAATGCCAAACTGTTTGTTGTGAAGTGATATGAGTTGAATTCCCTGGCAACATAGAGTGCTCGCAAGTCAAAGAAAATAATTGTCCATACGATGGCACAAATATCATAAGTAGGGTCACTTGTGTCTCAAGGCGTCTCTGTATTTCGTAATCTTGTACTTTTGGATTTTGCTCTCCTGCCTTGCTTTCTGACCAAAGTGCCATATGTTCAGCTACTTTTAGGTGCCAGTGTTGTGTGAAGTGATTGGTCCAGAGTGTGCTTGGAGCTACAAATTGGGAAGTATTTCCTGATTGGTTGCTGTGAGCAGTGTGGGTCACTGTGGAGACTCTCATACAAGTGTGGTCTTTCAGTGGTTGGGAACAGTGCTTCGTTTTCATCTCACTTTCATGTGGAGCCTCTGAGGCAGAAGGACCTGCCGTCACTTGGGGCTGCAATGGCTATGCCATGGTTTTACTGTCTGCATTTTGCGTTTATTTGTCTTCTGCGTGGTGAGTTTCTGTGTATGTGTGTATTTTTATTTATTTTTTATTGTGTGTGTGAATTGATCTTATAAGATTAGACAAGAGAAGTAACATGAGTGTTGAGTGAATGTTGAGTGTGGAAGCAAACCATGCTATCTTTGAGTGAAGTTGTGTGAGATTTGGCTTGTCTTTCTTTGCAGTAACCGATTGCCTCCAGTCAAAATCTGATATCTGTGATTCAAGTTGTGCAGGTGAGAAATGTTTGGGCGAGTTTGTGTCTATAATATTGCACAGATTTTGCTGGAAAAAAGCTGCGTCTGACTGATATTAATCGTTTCTTTGAACAAGAACAAGAAGCAAGTATTTCCATGCAAATCTCAAAAACAATGTTCTTATTCCTGCATCTCCTCAGCATTCTCTACTTCTGATATGTCCTATCAGAAAGGGGTGAGGTATACTTACAGGTATAAAACAACAATCACCACATCCTTGCATGGCTCAAATGCCGGCAGAAATGGACTGGCACTGGACTGTTTGGTTGATATTGATGCCATCTCCGAGTGTCATCTAATGATGCAGGTCAGATTCTGTCTCTTTCGGTAACATCAGGAAAACTGTGATTGTTGATGACTTACAACGTGCGACTTGTGTCATAGATAAGAAATCCACAGATAAAGCGACTTTCCCCTCAGAAGGACCACCCTGTGCCGCGGTTAAAAAGTTTGCGGTAATGTCAAAATATACCTGCTTATGCATCCTTTCATCAGTTGGTGTGCTCAATGCATGTGGTGTCATCCTTTATTTATTCTCACAACAAGTCTTGCAGCCAGATCATGACATATGATACTTGCAACACTCGACTGTGTTTTTGGGTCCCAGTGAGCTCAGCTGGTGTTTTTGTTTCCCAGGGAGTCGTTGGAGAGAACACCCCTGAAGTTCTGCCTCCATGGGGGGAAGGTTTTTAACTTATGCATCCAGGAGGGGGAGCAGATGTGGACGTTGAACATTAAAAAGGCATTTCTGAGCATGCTCCAGACCTCCAACACAAAATCCAAACATTCAGAAATGGAGGTGAGATCTGGTCCTGTTTCATTTTAGTGTTGCTGTGGGCACTGTACACTAAAGTACACTCGTGGATCATCTTGAACAGTAGGTTGGCATCAAAGACATTTTTTAGTAGCCTCAGACCAATACTCTTCATCCCTTGCCCTTGTGTCTTATGGTGTCCCCCAGGAGTCAGTTCTTGAGTCTAGTGCATTTCACCTCCAAGACCTGGAGAAAAAACATCATTCATGCATTCATAACTTCTATTGTAAATCCTTATTTCATTAGGTTGACGAAGAGCCTAATGAAGTGTTTGCTGAGAGTACGGTTTTTCTAACTTTGATCAAATGTTCCTGCTTCAGACCGATGTGCACGGGACGTGCGCCAGCTTGTATGAAAGGCGAGGACGATTACTGTTGAAAACCAGGTCTCTGAAAGAGTGTCACCAGTCAAGGCTTGCACGTTTCTGGACTCATTCCGTGGCTCTAACAGGAGACACGGTGAGTTCATGCTCATTGTCTTTTTTAGCATTAAAAATATTTAAGTAAATAAAATGCATTGTTTATACTACCATGGCACCAGGATTTTTTTCTCCCCTGGGGATTTGGGGGGGGGTTCTCGTATTTCCAATAAAAGGATGATAAACAGTGCAAGTATTCTCGAAAAATAAAAGTACTTCAACAAAGTCTAATACATTTGATCACAGGGCAGTTTTCCTGCATTTAAAATTTGGTTGTGGACAGGACTGGCATCACAAAAGGTACATTTCAAATCCACACTATAAATTTTACCCCTCAGTGTGGGCCACATGATCAAGCAACACGTCTACAAAGACATCCTGTGACGCATGAGTAATTTGTATTATTTATTTATTTATTTGTAATACTAAAAGATTATTGAACCTCATTCACGTTTGCCTCATCCACAGTCAGTGCAATCAGAGCTACGCTGTATTCAGGCCTACGGCTCGGCAGTTATGGAAGAGGCCAATTGTACCGAAACTGTATCCATAGCAACGTGGTCCAAGACTGCAGGGCAGGTGAAGACGCAAACCGAGTCAACTTTGCAGTTGCTCAGAGCCCAGTCAGGCACCGTTGCAGGAGCAGGTAAGCGATGGAAATGGGGCCCTAACAGATGAAATTCACTTCATGCACCACATGGAATGGAAATGTGATGCATAGTACGTCACTACACTGGCAGAGTCTTTAGGTTGTGGGACAAAAGCTGACTTGCGGTTTGAGGACGAAGGAGCTGCAAGACCTGGAAATAGTTTCACTCCTCACCAAGTCATCCAAACTACCAGGATGGTGTGTAGCGTCACATCACATCCACAAGAGGTAGGCTTAAAATGCATCAAGTTTCAGCGTAACATCAGCACTCAGAAGAAAATGAAATTCCCTGACTTTTTTTGTGTAACCTACTTTCTAACCAAGTGATGTTTTTTTTTTCTTGTTTTTGTTTTGTTTTTACACTCTTAGGTGTCTCATTGGTTTCTTGAGTTGACTTTTCAGCTTAGAGAGCTGACTCTACCGCAGCTCAAGACACTTTGGCGGGAAGCGTCTTTCAAGTGCCGCAATGACTGGTTAGTGCGGTCAGCGTTCTTTTGGCATAACTTTGTTATATCGTCATATAACTCATTCTTAATGACACCTTGTAGTAACCAACTCTCAATTTAATCGATAAATTGTGCCTCCAACGTTTCTTTTTGTATTTGCTTAACCTGTCCTTATTGAAGTGAACTCCACAATTTCCACAAACATGGCACATGTTTAACGTCATATTCATTCACTCTTGGGACAGGCAGCCCTTGTTGGACGCATTACCCGCTTGTGGCTCAGAAAACTGTGTCATACTACTGACTGACCTAATGAAGAAGAAAGAAGTGGAGGACGAACAGGCTCATTCTTTCCTCACCACCATCGCCCTCATCCCTAACCCTTCGCCACAGATCATACACTCCCTCAATGTAGGAACATCTGCATGGCATGAACCAGGAATTACGCCTTCTGGTTTTCACCAACGAGATTAACTACATGTACAAAGTATTGTGATATCATGCACCCAAAATGTCACTAGTTCCCACTTTGCAGCGTGGGAGTCATCTCCATTTATCCAGATGAATTTGTCAGAATTTCTATTGTAGTTTAGTGTGTGTAGTTCATTTTCTAATACAGCTCGCTAAAATAAGTGAGAATCAAGGGATTCATCTCAATCCCTGATTGATGAATCAATTAGGAAATGTATCTCAATAACTTTGTCCATATAGTTTATATCCTATAAAATGCAACTGTTTTTGAGGAATGAAAGCTCTGAAACTCCTGATGTTTCTGAAAGACTTTAGTTAACATCCAAGAGGTGCGAGACAAGGCTCTGCTTGCCGGATCCTCCCTGATCCATCAACTATGTCAGCGGTCCACTACTCCCTGCGTTGACCTTTCTCAGGTACAGGCCTTCATACAGAAACTAGAAGTGTCCTTGAAGGAATGCCGTGAACCACAAAGTCCTGCGAAAGTGAGAGAGGTACAATAAATGCTGAGTACAATATTCCCATTTGTATTTTAAGACAAAGTAAATGGACAGAAATACTGTATATTCTAAAATTCAAACTCATTTCATTTCATCCAACAGTTTATTTATGCAATGAAATCTGTGGGCAACATGGGCCTGGCTGCTTCAATCTTCATCCCTCTGTTAAATCACTGTGGACTCAACCAGTCAGCACCTTTGGAGCTCAGACTAGCTGCCATCAAAGCCTTCAGGCGTTTTGATTGCACAACTAATGTGAGTAAATATGACAACGTTTTGCATGAAATGAAATGATTCATCATGTTCTGACATCTTGTGTACAATTCATTCACATGCGTTTTGTGAGAGTTGATTTTATGAATTAAATGTCTAAAACCATGCTTTACGACGGGTCGAGGTGAAGAGGTGAGGAGGTTAGCAGGAGTCTGACATGAGTCACTG